AGGCGGGGCGACAAGCGGAGCGGGCAAGAAGGCGGAGCAGCGCAAGATGCAGCGCTGCCGCACGCCGGAGATCCTGCTGGCGCCGCACTACCTCGAGACCTGCACCAGGCCAGTCTGCTGCCACTGGAGCGCGCCGTACACGTGAGCACATTAATATTATTATTACCACTGGTCTCATTTGAAAAATAATATATGGCACACTTAGCCAGTTCAGTTGGTAAGTGTGACTCATTTACTGAACATATTCAACTGGTTTAAAGTAAAAACTAACTCCCGTCATTCCATACGAATTATATCTGTCCTGCGCTACTGTCCAACTGTACTGGCAAAGTGTGAACCATGACAATGTAATTTTGTCCTTTTTTATTTGATAAAATAATATTGGATAGTAACAGGAAAAAGGAGGAGGTAGTAGTCCCGGGGGCGGGGCTGGGCAGCAGCGGGGAGGAGTCGGGGGCGGACGCGGCGCGCGACACGCCACGCCCACCTAGCGACATCGACAGCCAGGTAAAGTATCAAAAACTTGATCAAGCACAAAACTGTCTATGTATGCTCTCTTGTGACTTTTAGTAAACGGCTTCATTAAATTAATATTATTGTTTATCAATGTGTAGATTTCCTTACCACGATCGTACACACTACCGCGGGAATTCCGCTACTGGCGACGTCGGCCGCGTCTTCGGGACGCACATCTACCCAGCAACAACAGCAGTGATGGTCAGTACATTAGAATTACGGCCGGTTCACACTTGGTCAATACAGATGGACAGTTGCGACGGCAAGTCATAGATTGTATGGACTCCACCGTCAAATTCACTTTTCCTTCCAATTTTCCTCTTAAGAAAAGGGTGGAAAGGAAAAGGGACTAAAATAAGGCCTCCGGCATCACACTCATCAGACTGCACGCGGAATTTCGCCCACTTACCGCCTGTTTTCTAGTGTGGTCGTTCTAAGTTCTAATGTACTTACACCCTAAGTTTAATAACGTGAAAGCCTAAGGCGTGTCGTAAGTGTAGGGCTTTTTATTAAAAAAATAATTATTCAATAATATGCTTTGCTGACATCCTACGCTACGAATTAGTGTGTTTACGATTTATTACATTAGTATAGATTAGCAATGTAAAGTGTTGTATCGCAGGCGACGTGGACAGCGGCGACAACAGCTCGCGCCAGTCGGAGTGCTCCGGCGGCTCGCAGCCGGCGGCGGGCGTGCGGCCGGAGCGCGCGCCGGACCGCCGCAGACGACCGCACGCGCGCCACAAGCCCGAGACTGACCTATGATACTCTATGCAAACACAAACGAATTAAAAACCTTTTTTTTATGAAGTATTCATCCATTATTGTTTTTAAATGATTTTTCTGATCAGATGTTTGAAAAATCTGCACCGATATTTCCGTCCATATACGATTGTTATCGGAAGTTTTATACCGTTCTCTACTAAAGAGAATGGCAAGGTTGACATTTTTTTTTGTATAGTTGACTACAAGTATATCAAGCTCGTAAAGGATAGTGAACTATTATGTTCTTGGTCAGGTTTGTCTATATTTTTGTAAGTAAAACAATTGCATCTTATTTAAATTGTGTAGATACATTTGAGGCTAGCACGAAAATCTTTCACTTCATAAATGACTCGATGTTACGAATATTTTTTCGTGCTAGCTTTTTAAGTAAATAAATTAAAATATCTAGACTTTACATTTAAATTAATGGCTCAATTAATACTAATTTAGATATCTAAGAATCTCTTTGTATGTCCAAAACTTGTACCTTTGAATTAATTTTGTAGCTAGACAAAAAATTCAATATTAATAATTAACATATTTGTACTTAAACTAATTGTAATATTTTGTATTTTTGTACATTGTATATTTATACATAGATTGTATAGAAAAATGAGGATAAGAAATAAAATGAACGTTTTTCAAACTTTTATTTATTTTATTATCTATAGTCCAATTGTAAAAGGGGAACCGGTCACTCTATCACTCCGTGCACTACGCCTCTACTGATCTCGGCCATTTACACCAATGTAAAGAAACATCAACCAAAAAATAAGGTTACAATTCACAAATACACATTTTATGTTGAATTAAAACTACCTTACACTAAAGGTCGGCGCACACTGGGAACTAGGACATGGTCAGAATATGCGAGTGCAAGTCAATGCAAGATGCGTCCAAGATTGGAGATAAATATAGACAAAATAACAGAACATCTCCGCACCAGCACGCACCGCTCGTCTCAGTGCGCGCCGACCTTAACTTACACTAAATTAGCTCAACCACGGACTTAGCGACGGTTTCGGCCACAACTTTACATCGACTGTTAAACGGAATAATGCGATTTTAGACGCGAAAAGATTCATGTCATCTTCACTGCGACCGCATCGCAAGCACCTAACATTACAAATAAGCTACTAAACAACAAAGAAGAATATTGCAAGTGTACAAACGTAAAGATCCCACAAAAGCTATTACAAAGTGAACAAGAGACTATATTGTATTATGCTAATTGAAAATCAGAACATTCTCTTAGACTATAAAGTCTATATTCTGTCTTAGAAAAAAAAACTATAAAACATCAATTGTGAATCTACATTTTCTATGTGACATCGTGTGAGTTTTATATGAATTTTATATGAAAATTAATACATTTTGTGTAAAATTTTAAGATAAAATTCATATAATTAAAATACCAATAATATGCAACAGAGCCGACAGTCCTGTGTATTTACACATCTTATAATTACTTACGAATAGAAAACTTAGCTGATAGTTTTGCAATAAGAACCACACCTGCGAGATACAACCTACATCTGTTTAAAAAATATAATCTTAACACTTTTTTCCCCCGAAACGGTTAAAACAACTAACAATAACAGGCGTAGACGAAACGACGCGATATAAAATGCAATTTAAAAAAATATTTAAGAGAAAAATTAAAAAAAAATCATTTGTAACGCCGTCGTGTCGTTCAGTCGCACGCCTGAACAATACAAATTATTGAACTTTGTACAAATACGTTTTCGATGCGAGACGTAAGAAACTGTACTTCACAATCCTGACTCAAGTTTGCGAGCCATGACGTCATTACAGTAACGACATTAGGGGTGTCAAAATGGCCGATACAATTCAAATTAACACTCATATAAAAAACTATAAAAATATAGCTTTTATAATAACCTAAGTCATAGGTTATACAAAATTGTAATATCTATTTAATAATATTGTAATGTCATAGTAAAATTGTAACCATGTTGTTGAAATTGCAATAAAACTGATACAGATTATAAAACATTTTTTTTTAATCTGTACCTAACTCATGGCTCACACACTTCAACCAAGGAGGTCGCAATAAAAATCTCCTTACAGGCGCGATAAAGAAACTCAGTAAATCTAAAGCGATTAATCTTTATCCTTAAACTAGTGGGAATTATACCTATAACATAGAATTAGACAGGCGCGCGCCCGCCCCGCCTCTAAACACAAACATAACTCTTCTTTATTCTACAAAAATAGACAGGAACAACTGACGTCTGTCACTTTGACGTTTATTACTTTTTTAATAAACGTCAAAAGCTAGCAATGGTTATGCCAATTTTTTGAATATCAATTAATTAAATATCAATATAAAATATATTTGCATATATTTAATTATTACATTAGTAATTAAATTTAATTTCTTGTTTATGACTCTCCCTTAAAAGTTAGAGTTAGAGATATAACTTTATAGGGCTACTGTCAAGAGTTTATAGTTTTGTTCCAGTTTTGAAAAAAATTGGCAACAACATTGTTTTTCAAGGATTTTAAAATGGAATTTCCAAAAACGTCGCATTAATATTCAATCAATATTGTTGTCAGAAAAATATGACAAAACCAGAACCAAATATTATATTCTAAAATACAAGAAAAAAAATTTTTTTTTCATTATCGTAAGTGATTTCTGTCTATATTTATAGAATGAAAGTAAACAAAATAATGTATCAGTTGAGGTCCGCGGCGGGCGATTTTTTTTAATTTTAATATTAAAGTGTGGCTTACTTCACTATGTGTGCGGCCGAACTAGTCGCCGCTCACGAGGATATGAGCTGGAATTAGAAAAAAACAATTACATTTTAACATATATAAAATAAATCTTGGTATTTACATGTATTTGATCAAATTAGTCAAATATTAAACAAAAAAAAAACATTTTAATTACAGAAAAAATAGGGTTTCAAACGAATAACGCAAACATGGAAGGTATAAAATCATAAAACAAAAATGTCTACCTTGTAAGGAAAAAGCGGGTGATCATCCTTTCCACTTTATTTTAGATATTTTAATCTTTCATAATATATTATTATTATAATAATATATAACTATGTCCTTTTATAAACTATAGGTATCCTATGTAGACATCTACACTCCGCCCTTAACTCCTAACATCCTAAATACACTGCAACAAAACAAACAAAAATAAAATAAGAAAAATTAAAAATTAAAACATGCAACATAACACATATTAAGAAAAAATGAAGTATAAGATATTGGGAATTCGATAAAACCAAAACAAAATGTTCATTTTTATTCCAAACATAACGTGTTCAGCGACACCATTCAATTTCGGATTTTTTTTGACACAGAAAAATTTTGGATATAAAAACCAACTGTAACTAAATGGTTTCGACATATCCAAGTAGTCTTACATAGAGAATGGAAAAATATCAAGTAGATTCATAAACCAGTTCAAAATACTAAAATGCCTACAATCTCTATCATACTAATATTATAAATGCGAAAGTTTAGATGGATGGATGTTTGTTAGCGTTTGTAGCGTAAACGACTGAACGGATCTTGACAAAATTTGGCTTAAATGTAAAAGATAGTCTGGAAGAATAGATAGGCTACTTCAATTCCACGCGGACTCCAGTAGATCCATATAAATAACTAAAAACATCAAATTTTGATCAAAAAATCGAATCACATATTAAAAAATATAGTAATAAAAAAAACCTCCCCCTTCCAGGTCGTTGTATTCGTGCATACATACCGACTTGACTGTGGCCTTGATGAAGTCCTTCTTGTGCGCGAGGTCGAAGTCGGGGTAGTGGCTGTACACCTGCTTGCACACCGTCTTCATGGTGATCTGCTCCAGGTTAGCGCCGTCCAGGATCTGCTTCACGTACTTCTTTATCTCCTCGTCCTGACACAACACATATAATATTAAATTAGATCACATTATACTATTATAAATGAGAACGTTTGTATGGTTGCCGAGATATTAGCTACTTCTATCTACAGAACAGCTTGACGGATCTCAATGGGGTTAGCATAGATGTAGAACACAGCCTGGAAGAAATCACGCCTAAGTGTTCTACACACTATATTTCCTATTTTTTTTAACTCCGCTTAAAACAAAATCGAACAAATAGAGTCAACTCCGCTAGTATGTACTTGTCTATATTTACTCTTTATAGACAACTATAAAGAGAATGATGGATCGCGTGATTATTTGGAGAATGAAAACCCAGTGCACCGACCCTATAGAAGTAGGATAAGGTGTGGGAGATGAAGAACTTCGTATCACAGAGCCAATTTTAAACAACAAACAACATTATTTTCGTATAACCTGGGCTGTTCTGTTAACATCGAGTTATATCTAGTGGTCAAAATGTATGTGATGTTACCGTGGGCGGCCGCTTGGCCTTCTTGTCTGCGGGCGTGTCCGACTCCTCCCCGCTCTCCTCCTCCTCCTCTTCCACCTCGCTGCCCGCCTCCTCCTCCTCCTCGCTGCCCTCGCCCGACTCCTCCTCCGAGGACGCCTTCTTGCCCTTCTTAGCCGGCCGCCCTACCGGCTTGCCGGCTGCCTTCTTTTTAGCTACACAAATAAATGATTGTTTTAATAAGTTAATTTATTTAAATTTAAGGCAAAATATTTATAACTTGGCTAGGTACATAAAACCTGTACTTTATTGTGAAAAAATATGAATCTAACGGCCTAATAGTGGAACAACTAAAAAGAATAAGGGCCACACATAAAGTAGAAAATGCTTTAAAAATTTGAAATCTGTCTGTTTACACGTATTTCAGTATCACCCATAATTCCTTTTTTGAAAGTAATTAAAGACATCACAAGATTAGGGTTTTATATTCTTAGTTAAGTAAAGCTATACAAAAATATATGTACCAGGCGGCGTGGGCGCTTTTCTCTTTGCAGGTGTTGATTTTGGTGCTCCAATCTTAGCTGCAGGCCCTTTGCGGCCCTTCGCCACCGCCGGCCGCCCGCGCTTGCCCTTTGGCTCCTGCTGCATGCAAAATATATTGTATTAACTTGGTCAAAAATAGGTTACCAAATTATCAATTCTATCATAAAAAAAAGGGTTTCTAAACATTTCAGATGAGCTTGAAAAGCCTCATATGGCCAATTACAATTCTATAGTGTGTGTGCTTTAAGTTGCAGGAATCATCGATCTAGTTCAATTATTCATATCAAACTCGCTGGTTTTATTTGTTTATAAAATAAGTATATCTTGCAAAAAAGCCTGAATCGGCAGATTAAAAATCTAAACCGTGTGTGTCTTCTGAATGAACTTACGTCTGACTCATCGAGCTCGCTGCCGGACTCCTCGTTGCTCTCGCTCTCCGACTTGTCGCTCTCATCCTCACTCTCTGACTTGGCTCTTCTGCCGCGACCTGATTTGTTCGCCCCCTGCATATAAAACATGTTAATAACATAAAAACAAAACAAATAGCTTAATGTACTTGCAGAATGCTACATCTATGCCAAGTTTCATCGAAATCCCTTCAGCCGTTAGCCACATGTTACTAACATTTCAAATGAGAAAGTTTAGATGGATGGATGTTTGTTAGAGTTAGTAACCTGATCTGATAAACGGATCTCGATTAATTTTGCCATAGATATTTCGGTTTTTTCTTTTTAATTCTATTCGGATTGAATTGTTGGAACTACTGGGTGTTGCTAGCCATTTCGCGTGAAATCAAAAAAAAAATATAGCCCGTTTACTGTTCTTGACTCCCTACAAGTTACATCATGTTTCGACTTCGTCCGCGTGAAATTCAAAAATAAAGCCTATGTTACTGACAACATAGTTTTTTGTGCAAGATTTTTATCGGTTCAGTAATTTATTTAAAGTTTTTATAATTTCAGGCGGAGGAATCCGCACGCGAACAGCTAGTAGTATATATATCTCACCCGTCCGCGCTTAGCCTTGGGCTTGCGGCCGCGCTTGGCGGGGCGGCCGGCGGAGGAGCGGCGGCCGCCCGACTTGCGTTTGCGGCCCGCGCCGCCGCCGCCCTCGACCACCTCCGGGTCGAAGTCCGAGTCAGCCTCCGACCCGCTCGGGTTGAACGAACCCTGTACACATACAAATTATAAGCGCCATTAGCTTATGTTCAGCCATTTAAAGTTTTGATTTTTAGAAAAAAAAAACATAAAAGCAAACTCTGAAAATAATTTAATTGAAAGATTTTCAGACCGGTTTTAGATTAAAATTAGTATAATTCTGCATACTTCATTATTAACAACGCAGAAAAATTCGCTGAATATATATAAGTCAATATCGCCTAAAATCGCGATTGAAACAAATAGCCTTTCTCCCGTCGATATATACTGCTTTTCCTCATCTTTTTCAGTGTCCTTCATTGAAAGATTTAATTTAAACATAAAGTAATATCAATAAAACTGAATACTAGTAATAGCAACGAAGGCATTTAAATTATCTATAGAGGCAGAGAAATATTTTTTCACCGGTACCTTCTTTGAAAGGTACTATATCAGTTATCAAATTGTATTGACTTGTTATAAAGCATTTAACAAAATTATAACAAACTTCATCTTTTGTTATAAACTAGACAGTATTATAAAGTCAAATATACACATTTAAAAATATTACTTAATTACAACTATTGGTAATTAACCTAATAAATTTAATTACAATTAGCTACATGATCATGTGAAAAATGTTTAAATAAAGTGTCAAGGGGCATACCCTTCTATATATTTGAATCTCTTTGCCTATACAGAAACATTTATTTACAAATGCAAATACATCTGTCGCCTCACCACAATCTGTCGCCTTCAGATATTAAATAGGTACTTCCTAGTAACAAATTGACTAATTGATAAATAAGGCATTAAGGTCTGAAATATTAAACTTACATCTGAATCTTCTGAACCGTCTGTTTTAGGTTTAGGGCCTTTAACTTTCGTCTCTGGATCACTTTCATATTCCTCATCTGAATAACCTGTTAAGTCAAAAATTATTTTTTTTTTAAACATTTACTAAATTACTCCATACTTAAACTTAAATGGCGTCATTACCTTGCCATCAGAAAACCACAAATATTTTCATCAAAATACAGCTAGTTAATGATTAACTAACTTTACCCCGCCTCTCACGCCGCAGGGATCATATAAGCCTACTCATTCCTCCAGACTATTCTAGATCTACGCCAAATTTCATAGATATTTATTAAGCCGGTCAGAATATATACATCCTTCGAATGGATGGATGTTTTGTAACTACATAATTAAAATTTAACTTTTCTAATATTATTGACCTTTAAATGCAAGATTTTTTTCAAATACCCTAAATTGAAACAAGTAGTAAATTGAACTGAAATCAAGGGAAATTTTTTTTTACATAATTTATTGAGTGCGTAAGAGAAGATTTATGTACGAATACATCATCATGCATTCAGGGTTAAGAAGTGGGATACAATATAAATAGTGATGTACCTCTGTTGTGCAGTTTGACCGCTGCGGAGCGGCGCGGCCGCCCCCCGGGCGCGGACTGCGCGGGCGCGGGGCGCGCCACGCCGCGCGCGTGCGGGCTGTTCGCGTTCGGCTGCTGCAGGAAACCCACGAGCCGCGCTGACAACTCCGATGACGAACCTAATAAACACATTATCTATTATCTGTACTATCATAATAAAGCGTAAACACACACTCCTTTGTTGCCTAAGATCTAAGCAATTACAGCATATTTTTGAATAATTCATTTTTTAATAAAAAGCCCTACACTTACGTCACGCTTTAGGCTATATATTTTCAAGCCATTAACCATAGGGAGTGAATATTTTGGATAAAAACTCTAATGTAAGTAAGAGACAATAAGTTGCTGCCAACATAAAGGAAGCAAGATTGCCAAAGAAGTTTTTTATATCTCCTTAGATCTAGCATACACGATTACATCTACACGCTTTTGCAGCACGTTATGTTTGCTATTGCGCCCGCGTGAAATTAAAAAAATAGCCTATGTTACTGATAAAGTAGCTTATTAATGGTGCAAGATTTTTTGAAATAGGTCCAGTAGTTTTTGGGTTATTCCAATACATACAGAAATCCAAAAATAAATGATTTAAAAGAAATTATCGTAAATGATACCTTTCTTATCGAGGTCCAACATCTCGCACATGGTGCGCAGCTGCTTGGGCTCCATCTTGGAGGTCTCCTCCAGCTTGGCCTTGTAGTCGGAGGAGCCGATCGCCCACTCGTAGCCCTTGAACTTCTTTATGTTGCGCTTCACGTTGCGGTCCAGGCAGAGTTGCTGGAAACAGGATTATCATATACCTTGCTCCTAAATACACACTAAAGCTACACAGACTGTTAAACTATCCAGTTAAAATTGTGTGTGTGTATGGTAAAAATATTAACTGTCTATGAACTCGATATTTAACGATTGAACCTTAAAAAAACACTTTTTATACTATTGTAAAACAATCCATCCTAATATTGAATTATGCTTTGCTTTAACTTAGAACAGCATTACCACTGTAAATACATATCACTTGTTGAAAATGTTACATTTCTCTTTACAAAATTGAATATTTAGTTTTTTTCTATGTAACTAACTATTGCTCGTGACTCTGTCCGCGTGATATTAAAAAAAGTAAGTATCTTGTGTTCTCCAAGACTATCCTCTACGTCTTTGCCAAATTTCGTAAATTTCACCATTTTGACTGCAAACTCTAACAAACATCCATCCATCTGAACATTTGCATTTATAATATTAGTAAAATAAGATAATCACTTACTCCGTATAGATATTGGTGCAGCAGCTTCTGGTCCTGTGTCTTGAAGCGGGAGAGGGAGACCTCCACATTGCTGATGTGTCCGAGCGGCGTGCCCTTGCCGGCCGGCAGCGGCACCGGCGGCTCCGTCGGCTGGTACAACATACAAATATTAAATAAACCTTACACTGTCTTTATTTTTTATCATTTATTAGCTGTTGCTAGCGACTACGTCCGCATAAAATTTAAAAAAATATAGCCGATGTTACTCACAAATATACTATTTTTCTTACTGTGAAAGAATTTTTGTTAAATCGGTCTAGTAGTTTTTGAGTTATTTCAATACATACAAAAATACAAATCTTTTCTCTTCATAATGAGTATAGATTATTTTCATTATCATAACTAACTAGTATAGGTAAATTTGGGATATCTTTCAAACTTTACTTCTTGTGGAAAAGGCTGGAATCTTATATCCATAAAGTGGTCTAAATCAATAAAACTAACTAGCTGTCAACCGTAACTACGTCCGCGCGGTATAAAAAAAAGTTAATAACTAACTGTGTTGTCTTCTAGTCTGTTCTACAACTATGACAAATTTTAACTTTAGCATTTGTATTATTAGTATGAAGTATGGTTAAACAAAAATTTTTACCATATCAATCCTATAACTCTCAAAAATACTCAATACGTATGCGCATTGGCGATATTTACCTCCTTTTTGGGTTTAGGTTTGGGCGCCTCAACCTCCTCCTCTTCTTCCTCCTCCTCCTCCTCTTCGCCCTCCTCCTCGTCACCTTCCTCTTCCTCGCCATCGTCTTCCGCATCTTTAGCTTTCTTAACCGGTTTCTTTACTCTTTATTTAGGAAAAAAAATTGTAAATAAATTAGCTTTAGTAAAATAGAGAATTCTAAATTCTATTACAAATGCTACTTGACATAATATAGGAAGTACGTGTATTTTAACGGCCGAATACTGAAACGATATTTAAATATGTAACAGTGTCGTAAATGATATTGGCAGGATTACACCTCAAATTCCATTAAAATGATTACGCTGTTAGATTACAAGAGGCGCATACGGAGGGAAATGTTAAAGATTCGTTTCAGTATTCGGCTGTAAGTCTTCCCAGCACATTTACATGACTTATTATATGTATACTAAATCTTACTTGTCTTTAGCTGGTTTCTTGTCATCATCTACTTCATCTTGCTCATCACCCTCCTCCTCTTCTTCCTCCTCCTCCTCCTCATCTTCTTCATCCTCTTCTTCAGTGTCCTTATTCAACAAAACATTTAATTTAGAAACAAAAAATACAAAGCCGATAATAGCTAAGGTAACATTTAAAAAAGTACGATGACGTCATAGGTCTTTCGTACACAAGGCAACGTATCCTCAAAACTCTGCGATAATAATCTCTGAGCGATACGGAATACAATTTCATAGACATTAATTGCTATCATGTCACTTGCTACGGGTTAAGGTGCGATTTTCAAGATAATAGAACAAATATCTATAGTTTACATTTTATTAATTCATAGGATCTATGCATTGTAGTGATTGAATAGACAACTCACGTTGACTATCAAAGTTATTTACGAAGCGCGCGATAAGCGATGCTCGCGTAGAAAGTATTGTTTCCTTGTGTACGAGGGGCCTTACGCTTCTGAGTCTATCAAACCGTAAACAAGCGTAAATATTACGATACATTTTTTCCATAATGTTAAAACAGACCTCTTTCTTAGGTTTCTTTTTGGGTGCTAATTTCTTAGACGCCTTATCATTTTCCTTAACATCTTCTTTGTCATTCTCGTCGTCGTGGGTCTCGCCGTTCTCCTCCTAAATAGAAAAATTTTCGTAATTCAAGCATATTTCGACGGCGTAAGTAATTAAAATAGAGTCGTCATAGAACACTCTCTTTGGGTTAAATCATATTTTTTAATGACCCCCCCCCCTTCACCTTGATCAACAGCTTACGAACGCCTTTAATAAACAAACATCAAGATACAATCTCTGGTAGTTACATTGTAATTACAGCAAATCGTTTACATAGACCCTCCTATTAAAAGCCCCTTATTTTTAATAGAATTTATTAAGTAATAAATGCCCTTTGTATTTAGCAGGGATTAGATACAACAAGCTCGTTTAACGAAGGGAATACCGTAACCATGACAACAACTCCGTACAACATATCCAGGACATTTCAATGTCTTATTACACGATGCGTATTTAATTGCTTTGTTTTTTTTTTCCTTGTTTCCGGCTTAATCATTTACAAACAAGGCTATGCAAGAAAAACTAGATGGCGGCAATCTTTTTAAAATCGGGTCTAATTAAAGAAATGTGTAATAATAACTTAACTGTGGGTTTCAACCAGTGAAACCATGACATACTCACATTTTCACAACAAATAACAGAATTTTTGGACGAGAGGTTCCGTCGTGGAAGCCGATCATAATTTTTAATTAACACTTACGCTTATACTTATGAAACAATATAAATTATTTTTTCAACAATAACACTTCTGTGTAGCCAAAGTCATGTGTTTAATGTTTTTTTTTTTTAATTACACTAACCTTTAAGTCATCGCTCTTCGCATCCCTCTTGTCATCTTTGGAGTCTTCACCGCCTACGTCGTCATCATCCTTGCCGTTGGCCGTCGTCGACTTTGCGTCGCCTAAACAAAATGTACAATTAATAAAAAAAACGATACTGAATTAAACTACAACGTGACTTTATAGGTTAATTAGTTTAAGGTAAGAAGCATTCACAAATATTTAATTTATTACATTAAACAGGACTCTTAATAATAAATGACAAAGCTTCAAGCTTCAAATGTAACACGCCTTTACAACACATTCCTATCTCTGTTATTGCAGAGCGAGAAGGACAATATGTTTCTGTACATGTTTCGACAATGGGAACTCAACATTTATCACTCGAGATGTTTACATTTAAAGTTAATAATAAGTAGCGTAATCAAATAAAAACCTTTCTCCGCTGTATTTTTCCATATACAAGTGTAAATAAATTCAAAACAATTATATTTTACTTTTGCAAAAAAATTCTGTTTACAAACATGTACTATTTATCTTTTGACGAAGTACTTATTTATTTTGTAAATGCGAAAGTTTGTATGGATGGTTGTTAGAAGGTATCCCTAAAACGGCTGGCAGGATCTGGATGAAATGAACACTGAAAGAACGTTACTTCAAAAATTACTTCACAAGGCTTACTTTTTAATTGCGCGGCAAATTTTAAAACTTTTTAAAGTTCACATGTTTCGTAAATACATTGACGTTTTTACCGGATTTGAAAAAATATACAGACGAATTGATTACCTCCATTTGGGAAGTCAAAAAGTTTAATTTCATTTAAACCATAATGCAAAATATCGTTTTTTTTCTTTTATGCTAACAGACTATCTCAATAATCGGCACTGACACAATTTATATAAATAGAACTTAAATATTTACATAGCCTTTTTGTGTTAAGATCATGAATCGAATCATGTTACCGTAAAATTCCACTGTCGTAACACTTAAGACATATCCTGGTTAATATTTTCATACCTGAATAAGCGTTTTTATTCTATTTTTTTAATTGTTGTCGCAGTCTTTTTAAAGTGAAGGACAGAGAAGACTAATTATGTTTGTGTAAATGTGTGAACAGTGTGTGTGGAACGTATGACGATGTAGCGGGAATTGTTAGTTTACGCGAAAACCTTGAGTACCCATTGATGAACTAGCTTTTCATTTGTTGTCTCTTTCGTTCCCTCTAAAAGAAACTGAGACACAAATACAAAATGATTGCAGTGACGTTTGCTTACAAACTTTAGTCCTTGATTAAAATACTTTCTACTTCACTTATGATTGAGTTTTCAAAAATGTACTTACCTTGAAAAATGACATAATGCGAGACATAAAGTTAGTAACTTAAAGCGCGATAAAACTTTAAAACCATCAGGGAAAAGCGGTGTAGGCAAACACAGACATTTGTTATTCACTTTGTACCAAAAAAATTCATCAACACAACTCCAAAAGATGTTAAATACATTACGAGATTTTTTTTATTGTAGATATTTTTTTAATGTAATTTTGAAATTTACCAAGTAAATAGTAATCTATAACTTCGACAGCATTTTTTTTTTTAATTGTTGTAATAAATTACTGAGAGAAGTAATTAGGTCTTGGGCATGGCAACAGTATTATAAATTAAGAAAATAGAGTTAATTCAGACACGTTTTATTTGGAAATAGATTTGTATGTATTTAAATATGAACGAGCTTCTTATGGCCTTGAAAATAAAATAAGCATAAATTAACTGAATTGGTCCAAAAGAAGTATAACCTAATTATTATTTAGATATGAATGTTTTTGAGTCATGTTTTTTTTAAACTGTGGTTGTTTTTTTTTTATTTCAAAAAATAACCTAGTTATGAATTGAACATCATGACTTTTTTGACCAACATGATTTTTTTAGTTTATTTTTTTTACTTTATCTATGAACTTTTTTAATCACCATATCTTCACACCCAATAAAACGAATGTAATGGACAGACAAAACAAGCCTTGGTTAGTTGTGATGTAGATGAACACAAATCAGCAGACTATATAAAAAAATCCTGACCTTCTTCAGTTTGTTTCTCATCCGTGTGATTTTGTTCTACATCCGCTTTACCTTGTGCGTCGCCTTGAGCCACAGACTCACCCTTAGAGTCCTGCGAGGATTCATCTTCTGTCGTTTGACCATCACCACCGACTGATTTCTTGTCTTCATCCTGTATGGTAATTTTATTTATAAGACTTTCTTATATTTCAAATAGGCAATATTTATATTATACAAATATTTGATTAGGAAATGTCACATATATATTGTGTTAAAACAATTTATGCCATCAACTTGCTTGTGGCATTCCATTTATATTTGAAAAATGAGTTCTACTCAATGTTTTAATTATATTTTTTATAACAATATTACAATTGATTAAATGGTAAAAATATCTTTTTACTTGCTTTTACATTTTCAAAATTATACTTTTTGACAACCCTATTGGCTCCAATAGGGTTGTCAAATATGACTTTTACATATGTTTGTATTTTTCATATGTTATTTTTATAATCCCTAAATTAGCACATTTACTTTTATTTACATGCACACACTTACTTTAATCTTATGGACGTTCTATAGCTTTGTCTTACATATATAGATACAAAATGTAGGTGAGAAAATATAATATTGTATGAAAATATTACAACAGAATACAAGTACAAGAACTTAACATCTTTTTGTGTCTTTCTTAGTCATTTTTTAGGTTAAGTTTTTGACATATCAAGCTTGGTAACATTTTTTAACATTTCATATTATAGCATTTATGTAATGTAATATTTAGGTGTGTTCGCACAATCTTATTTTTATGTCAAGTCATTCTGATATAATTGAAGATTATATTCAGTTATCATTTAACAGGACTTAAATTAGTGATTTCAGTTAAATGTGTCCCATTTTTAGGAAACAAATGGTCACTTTATTACATATTTTTAAATTTTGTTATGACTAATTACATTACTATCAGGTTATTGACTGATATAATATAAGTGATAAGTGTAGATATGTGCAATCAAACTAACATTAAATTTTTATAATTTCATATTTCTTAAAAAAAAATTTACATCATAAAAATAAAAATATATAAAACATCATCTAGAAATTACAGTTTTATAACAGAAAACACATCGAACTCTGCGTCTTGATACCTTTGGCGTCGAAGTTTTACGCACATTCAAACAAAAATAGACCTTATTCCTTCAACATAAAACACATATTTCAATGTATCAAGCTCTATCGCTATACACTACCGTATTGTCTATGTGTAGTTATACAGACGTATATACTTAACATCTATGTAAGAACATTATCGAAAATGGAGATTTTCTCAAATGCTAATTTTACATTTCAGCAACTCTATTGTTAATAACATTGCGTAGATAATAATACTAACGAAAATAAGTAAATACGCAACAGAATCCAAGTAGAAACCAAAAGAGGTCATGAATAAAGGCCCCTAAACCGGAGACTTGAGTTTTATTTACATCGCTTGCCGCGTTTCGAGCGTGTATAAGAAGGCGCGAGGTCGACGTTCAGTGGAATAACAACATATCTCGGGCCTCCGAATAGAAAATTCGCAAGAAACAAAATATCAAGGTCATGCGGATTTCCTATCAATGTCATATAATATCGTGCACATTAACAAAGGCCCTGCAACGAAATGCAAAGGGGCGGGGGTGGTCAAAATATGCGAAATCTTGAAAAATATCCCATCAGAATCAGTTTCTTTGACTGATCAGAACAGCATTCACCGTTTTTAATGCATTTTATTAACTTATATCACAACCCTCCGTGGCGTAGTTCCCGCGTTTAGCGGGAAGCGAATGTTCTGTCAGCCATGTTGAGACGCAGGCAAACATTTGTGATATAACACGGAAATAACATCACTTCACAGCTAGAAATGTTCTTACAAGACGCGCACCAATACAAAGAAATGAAATTAAAATATATATTTCACAACTATACCTGATTATCACTGATTTTTGCTTTATCGGTATCACCCGACATTTTTCCTACGAAGAAATTGAAAGCGAATTCCAAGCGTCTTCAAACACCGGACAACACAAATGCACGCACCCACAACATAGAAAAAAAAACTTTGCGTTTCGTTCCACAGTTTTCGTTACTTTAAACTTTTGAAGAGTTTCTTTTTTTTTATCTTTTTCCTACGTAATATTTTCAAGATCACCTTAAAATATGTAAAATTATTAGTTTAGTGTGATATTTCTATCTTTAAAATTTTCTAATATCAAATAAGCAAGTTAAGTATTAGAATTGAATGTATATAAAATACTAGTTGTTGATCGCGACTTCGCCCGCGAAAAATTAGAAAATAATGAAAAGTATAGCGTGTATATATATTAGAGAAAGTTTTAGAGTAGCCCCAGTGGTTGAGAAAATAAGGAGTAAAAGGTTAGAGTGATATAGGCATGTTATGAGAAGGGATAAATCACATGTAACAAGACGGACGTTAGTTATGAATGTGGAAGAGTACATCGGTAGAGGTAGACCTAGAAAGAGATGGATGGATTGCTTGAAAGGTGACATGATCAAGAAGGGAGTGATGACTGACTGAGATGACGGATCATAGAGTGCTTTGGAGGACTAAAACCCGGTGCGCCAATAATACGGGAGTAGGATAAGGGAGGGGAGATGATAAGGATGATGATGATGATAGCCTGTGTTACTCACAGATAAATTAACTTTCTAATGATAAAATAAACTTTAGAATCGGCCCAATAGTTCTTAAGCTATTACACTACATACAATTCATTACATAAAAAATACAATAATACAAATCTCTCCTCTTTGTAATATAGGTATAGTAGTATATAAAATAACATGTAGTAATTGTTCGCGACTTCAACGGCTCTAATTCAAACAATAAAAGAAAAATAAGCTTACGCGGAATGTGGTACAGTGGTATGGCATTACCTGGAGTGGATTTCGGTAGTACCAAAAGAATGGGGCCGTCCAAACAAATTGAAACTAAAATAGACGAGGATGTATGGGGTAAATATCTGTAGAAGAAAAGACTGTCTGAATCTGAGAATGATCTGAATCTCGTCTCTTTTCTTAGTTGCTTGGGAATTAATGTTTTTTTAACTAGAGTAGTGAAAATTCTATAATCTATGGTTAAAACGTATTGCGTGGCTGTACGACCGTTGACTGTTGCCTTTACATTTAGTAAAACATTACACAAACTTTCTTTCTGATTATGGTTCGCGTCGTTCTCGCAAGTTGCGAGGCAAGTGTCTAGTAATTTTGGATAGCGATCCTTTATTAATGGCTGCCGTATTCCGCTATTGAATGTGCACTTTAATCAAACATGAGTGATTATTCTTCTATGGCTACGCTTCCGAATAATAGCCAAACGGCGGGATTTGCGGCTGCTGTACAACGTGCTAGCTTGGTGAGTAGACCGACATCTGCATAATCTTTTGACACCGTCGCATTTGTATTTTCAACAGATAAAATTTGTTTCTTCGGTTTTAAGTTCATTGTATGTTGAATTATCAATCACAACCGACCCTCTTTTTGTATTCAAATAATTATCATTGACAGTTCTTCAACTAATACGTAGTATAACCTACTTTTTAATTTGGCATTCCATTGTTAACAATTATGATGCATTAGAAGGAGTTACCGTTTTGTGAGTGCATCAAATTATTTACCTTGTCAATTATTGTAGATTGCGGCTAAAATTAGCGGAGGAAGTGGCAAGAGGTCTCTTGAAGACGGACCGGAACCGATAGCAAAAAAATTGGCGCCAGTGGATACAGTATTTCCTCCACCACCACCACAACAACAACAACCACCAATGAGGTTTGTAATATTTGCAGTTGAAGACTAAGAAACAACTAAAACTATATATCTTAAAGTTTGAAATGAAAAGTTAAATCACTGTTACTTTCTATTGTATAAATTTTCTATTTTACGAACAACCTTGGAAGTTACACTTTTTACTAAATTTTACACTAGTATCGTTCACTTCAATCAATATTGTATGGACATCTTGAGGTAAGATGGGTTATACAAAGTGTTATTCTGGCTTAATAGTTCAACAGCAGCAGTAGCGGCAGTGGCGGCGGCACGCATGGCGGCCAACCCCCCGCCGCCCGCGCCTCCTGCGGGGCCTCCTAACATGATGCCAGACCAGCAGATCAATGAGTACATTAGAGTACCTGACAAGATGGTTGGACTAAGTAAGGTTTTATACTTATCTACTCAATGTGAAAACAAACGAACAGCATCAATTTAATTTGATCTTCCATCCATCCTCTCCTTCATAAATACTTATTAAATGGATATAAGTTGATAAAATCTGACTACCCTCTTGTTCATTCTAATTTTTACTTATCTACATTTTTAAATAACATTCAAACTACCCTACCATTAGTGTTGCAACAATGTTTTGAAAGAAACTTTTATGATTTTTATTAAATATAAATTTTAAACTCTTGTTAATCAAGTTGTAGTTTAAAGAAAATTGGGTAGATAAATATGGACATGGGCAGTTGAAAAAGATAAAATGTGTTAGAATAGGTTTTTTTTCGTTTGATTATTAACACATATAAAAATCATTTTGAAATAGTCACTTGCAAGATTTCTTCAAAACCTTGATTTAAATCATTCAATGCTACTCATACATTATTTATGACAATGGTTACTCATGAAAACAAATTTGAAATTCTGCTTATTGAATTTCAAATGATACATCCAGGTAGACTGAATATATAACTTTGGGAGGGATCAGTCTATATCTTGACAATTTGAACCAAGATACATACATTTACGTAAGAATGTGTTGGAGAATAGCCACAGCCACATCCATCTGGCTTTAGCAGCTTCCATACACACATTTAAGAAATATTGACTAGACTTAGTAAACAACATTTTTTCACCTTAACTTAAGCTTAACTAAAACTTTACTGAACTCCTACTTATAACTTACTGGTAACTTCTCTGAAAGGTACTATGTTAGTTGACAAGTTTAGTATGCGACTTCATGTCTTTGTATTATATATTTATATTTATTTTTATTTATTAATATTTTACAACATTATAACAAGCTCCATCTTATGTTTAAATAAATGAGTGTCACAAAATAAGACAAACATTTCAATATTATTAAATGATGCTTAGTGGCAGTTAATATTAATATAAATAATTTACTACTTTACTTTATCCACACTAATCTCTTTAACCATACCAATTAATAGGCATGTTTTCCAATACTCAACTCTAAGCATTCTCTTCATTCATCACATCTTCCTACCTTATCCTATTCCCGTAGGATCGGTGCACTGGGTTTGCATTCTCCAAATAACTCTATCATCTGTCATCTCAATCATAGCTACCTTCTTGATCATATTTCATGCAATCCATCCATTCTCTTTTTGGCAACAAAAAAAAAAGATATGTGTAGTCAATTTACATTGAGCCATTGTCGTGGACTGGACTAGTAACCTCTAACGTTTATAGACTCTGTGGGTAATGATGTATAGTAAGCTAACAATATAAGTACAAAATTTCTAACCATACAATAAACTTAACCTTAGGTATCTCTTAAGCATACATATTATCTCTTTCATTTTACAGTGTAAAAAAACTGAGATAGTAATATGTAATATGTTATTTCTATTAATAATTTTGGAAGGGAAACCTATGGTAATTGAAAGGAAAAAAATGACTTTTTATTGCGAGACAAAAACTTCTATATTATTCTCGCTTTGTCTTGATAGGGCTGACACTTCTTAACCTTAAATTAATAGGGTTGTCAAAAAAGAAATGTCACGTATGATTTTGATATGATAGCTAGGGCTGTCAGAAATGATTGTTAGGGTTGTCAACATTTAAAAAAGGATAAATTTAATATGCCGTAGATATTTTCTAAATGCACTCAATACATTAGTCATAGGCCGTGGCGGTGAGCAAATCACCCGCCTGCAAGCGGAGTCGGGCTGCAAGATACAGATGGCACCAGATTCAGGCGGACAACCTGATCGTCTCTGCACCCTTACTGGATCTAGGGAAGCTATCACTAGAGCTAAGTAAGTGTTTCTTATATTCCAAGAGCAAACTTTATTCACATAAAGTCTCGTAACCAAGTTACTTAACTTTTAATTACTTATACTGTTTATGTTATACATGTAAGCACCATTTACTTGTATTCATTGTATAAACTTATCTTTTTTTAAGTTTAATTATGCAGAAATTGGTATCAGCTTGTATTTAATATTTTCTTTAAACAGGGAGCTAGTGAACCAGATAGTGAATCACCGGGGCCGGGAGAATGCCCCTCAGCATCAAGACAGCCAGGGAGGAGGCCCGCCCATGCCTCGCTCCATCGGTGGCGGCGGCGGCGGTGGCGGAGGACTCGCTATAACCGTACATTAATAACTTTATACATCTTATTTCTGACTTAGGATCCACACTTTTTTAGAGATTTAAGGTCTCTTATAAAAAAAGTTTTGGGTATATTTTAAAAATAATCATCAATCTTACTATCTTACTAATGTTATAAATGCCAAAGTTCAGATGGGTGGATGTTAGTGAATATAGCCCAAATAGCTGAATGGATCTTTATGGAATTTGGCATTGATGAAGAGGCTTGGAAGAACACAGGCTGCTTACTTTTTTTTAAAAAATTCTTCTGTAACCTTTGTATGCTTTTATTAAATGAATAGTTATGTTCTAATTTTTTGTTTGTAGATATTTGGTTTTATGTTTTATTTGTTAATTTAGGAGGAAATAATGCTTCCTGGTCCCAAAGTGGGTCTAATTATTGGCAAAAATGGCAAGACCATAAAGCAACTTCAAGAGCAGTCCGGGGCTAAAATGGTTGTTATTCAAGATGGACCTAATACTGAATATGTAAGTAACATGTTATTTATTTTTAAATAGATACACATTTTAGATATAATAAAGTAGAAATATTTGCCTATATTTATGAGGGCACTAAGTTTTATATAAAACTAGCTGTTGCTCGCGACTTCGCCCGCGTGGGATTAAAAAAGAATAAAAACTATAGCCTTTGTTACTCACTGATAATATAACTCGCTTATAATATTAGTATAGACTTCCAATATCATTACACTAGTCTATATTTTTTAATTCTAGATATATATCTGGATATAATGAAATGCAATAATTTGTGGCTTCCATAACTCATAAGAATATTCTTAGTGTAAAAAAGTTAAATTAATATATTTTGTACTTCAAATATCATAAAATATTTTTTTTTAATATTTCAACAGGAGAAACCCCTCCGTATATCCGGGGATCCTACTAAAGTGGAGTTAGCTAAGCAAATGGTGTACGAGCTGTTAGCGGACAAGGATATGCAGCAAGGAGGGCCGCGTCCGCCCTTCGATGATGGATACTCACAGGATCAGGGCAACGGACTGGGCAGTAATGCTACTGAGGTATTGATTTATAGCTTATACATTACAAAAAGAAAAACAATGAAAGTCTTGGCAAAATTGATCTAAATTATTCAGTGTAAAAGATTAGAAAACCTTGTCTGATATAGGACTTTATGGGTTACATACATAGTTATTTGCATACACTAGTTATGTCAGGTTCATGAAATTTAAGTATTAATAGTCCAATGGTTAAGTACAGAATTCAAAAAACGTGGTCTAGAGTTCGATTCTCGTCTTTGGAGTAAACTATTCGAAAAATAAAATATAATATAATAGATAATAAAATATCTGAACTTGGTTGGATTCATCATCATCACCAGCTCACTATATGTCCCCACCGAGGGGCTCGGAGCCTACCCTAAAAAATTAGGGTGTTTAGGCCATAGTCAACCACGCTGGCCCAGTGCGGGTTGGTCGACTTCACACATATCTTTGAATTTCTTCGCCGATATGTGCAGGTTGCATCACGATGTTTTCCTTCACCGTAAAAACGTCGAGTAAATTGGTTGGATTGGTTACACGAAATAGTAAATTAATAAAAATCTGCTAGAATTTAAAAAATGTTGCCTTTAACATTACAATAAGGCGCCCTAATTTTATTAATATGTATAGATTTTACAGTATTTAGCAAATGTTTAATATTGGCTTCATTTTTTTAACTTTTTTATTGTTAGGTGCTGGTGCCAAAGATAGCAGTCGGAGTGGTGATAGGCCGTGGTGGTGATATGATCAAGAAGATCCAAGCGGAGACAGGCTGCAGGGTGCAGTTCCATCAAGAAAGAGATGATGGACCTGGAGACAAAAGGTAGTGTGTAAATGTCCTTCCCACTTAGAATCGAGAGGAATTTTAGTTGTTGACATTTGTCTTACATTTCAGATGTTACCTACAAGGCAAACCGCACCAAGTTGACCAGGCCAGGCAAATGATTGAAGATCTCATCGCCAGCGTCAATGTTAGTATATTGGTAATATTCTAGAAACATTTGAAATAATTGTTAAACTTTGATATGAATTTTTTAATACCTAAATATAATTTTCATATATCTTGGCGGATATTAACTTCATGCGAGTAACTGCAGAATAAAACTAGGTGTAGCAGGCGAGTGGGCCGCCAAGATATTTGAAAAGTGTAAAACCCGGTCCACATCATGTCAGTTACGTAGTCAAAATCAGTGCTGGATTACAACAGGCATAATGTTTACGCTATAGTGAGCCAGTGAGCCTATACAATCCATGCCGATACTGGCCAAATGTAAACTAGGAATAATACCCGGTTTACACTTGGTCAGTACAGATGGTTAGAGCGCTCAATAAGTGGACTGACCTAGTGTAAACACTAAATACCAGTGTGTCCATACTATTTATGACTGGCCAGCACAACTGATCTAATGTAAACCAAGCTTAATACTAGTATGTTGTATGCAGCGTCGCGAGCAGGACGTGCGCGCGATGCGGGGCGGGGGCGGAGGCGGCGCTGGTGGAGGCGGGGGCGGCGCCGGCGGGGGCGGGGGCCGCGGGGCACGGAATGGTGACCGCGACTACCAGTGGCAGGATACACCAGAGATGCGTGTAACGTTCACCATCTCTAATGTCAAGTGTGGACTCATTATTGGCAGGGGTAAGTATGTTATAGAACGATAGATAAATTCGTTTTAACTCTGGCAAAGAATTAAATACCAGGCATAGACATAAACGGTGTTATGGCAGTTTTTTTATTGACAGGGCGCCTGGTGGATTATAAAGTTACCACTAGGAATGAATTCTCTTTCGAAACTCTCTGATGTTCAAAACACACCAAACTATATGCTATTTTTTTTTCAATATTGACTTACGAAGTTTTAAAAATGTCAATGACTTGTTGATTTTAGCTTAAGCCAACTGCCATATGATTTGTCGCGGTATTTAGTTTATGACAAAGTTGACTTGTTGAGTGTGAGATTCGTTAAGTTTTTAAGGTTGGATATAGATATATTTTAAAATACTGTGTTTCAAAATTAGGCTTGTGACTCTTGACGTAATAGTTCTAAATGTTTATTTTAATATTTCCATGTATCTTGTTCAGGCGGTGAGGTAATAAAGCAGATAAACGCGCAGTCGGGCGCGCACTGCGAGCTGGACCGGCGCGCGCAGGGCGACCGCAACAACCGCACCTTCTACATCCGCGGACACCCTGACGCGGTGGAGCACTGCAAGCGCATCATTATGGAGAAAGTCGGCATGGTAATACTTTGCATTTGTTCACTTCATTGTTTTCAGTCAACTACTCTCTGTCAATTTAAATTGTAAAAATTACTAACTAAATATTATACTAACTAATTAGTAATACGAAAATAAACTATTTGTCCCCCGTTAACCCTATGTTTATGGGTATGAATTACGATTCAAATGGGATATCACTTTGTTTTATATCTGTGCCAAATTTCAATAAGATATGTTGAAAGAACTTTTTGAATAAACTTGAAAAAAAAAAACAGGTAATGTATCCCACGGGAACCGAAACTACTTTGAGGATCAAAGCCATGCAATATTTCGAAATCCATTTAGCAGTTTAGGCAACAGACTCTAACAACCATCCATCCAAACTTTCACATTTATAATATTGTTAACTTTGTAATTTTTTTAAGTTAGTACTAAATCATTACATAGAGAAAATTAAGTGCCCATGTTTTATTTTAGTGTACTATATTGATCTGATTTAACTGCATAGAGCAATTTAGAGAATGTTATAGAGACCCATAGCGACCACAAATGTACACTAAGGAACTGTTTAAGTAACTGCTTTAGCACTGAATGCAATTGTAAGGTTACTTTTTATTTGCAGCCAGTAACATTCATCCCTGAGGGTAACGGCAACGGTGGCAACGGCGGCGGGTCAGGCGGCGGCGGGCCCGGCGGCAACGGCGACATGTACGGCGGACCCGCCTCCGGCCCGCCCGCCTGGGGGTACAACCCTAACTGGCATCAACCAACGCAGCAGCAGCAGCCGCAGGTACACCCAGACAACTGTCGGCTACTGCCACTTTAGTGTGTGACTGTACCGAAATTGTCATATACACAGCATAGTTCCACAATAATGAATGATAGCACTTTATTGCGCGACTGTACCGAAATTCTTACATACACAGCATAGTTTCACATTAATAAATGATAACAGTTTAGTGCGCCACTGTACCGATGTGTAAAGTCACTTTAATGCACAACTGTACCTAAAATATTACTATAGCGTGTATGCTATGTGTTCTTACAGACTGTTCTACATCTGTGCCAAATTTTCGTTCTGGGGAAACGTAGTAACAAATATCCATCCAATCATCCATCCATCCATAAAAACTTTCTCAGTAAGATAGAACTATGTGTAGAAATATGCAAATGTTACTAATATTATAAATGCGAAAGTTTGGATGGATGGATGTATGTTTGTTACAGTTTGTAGCCTAAACGACTGACAGGATTTGGATAAAATTTGGTATAGATATAGAGGATAGTCTGGAAGAACACATAGGTTACACACTTGTTTTAATTCCACGCGGACGGAGACGCGGGCGAAAGCTAGTATTTAAAAATAATTCTCTTACCCAGCAGCAACAAGTGACCATAAACCCTGTGACTGGTCAGCCGGACTACTCTCAGCAGTGGATAGACTACTACCGGTCGCTGGGGCTGGTTCGCGAGGCGGAGGCCATCGAGCTGCAGGCCAAGCAGCAGCAGCAGCACCAGCCGCAGCCAGGTAAATATCATGTCTCTGGTAATACTCTTACTACTGTCTTGATTATGAAAATAACAATGTTGAGTTGAATGAAGTATTAATATTATACGTTTTTAAATAAGTAATATTAAATCTAAGCAAAATTTTGTAAATACCAAAGTGATTTGTCAATTTGAATTGATTGAAAAATGTTTTCTTGTGTGTAAAGGAATGGAAAGTTTGTTGTTATAGTCAAATAAGGATATTAAAATACATAAAACCTATATGGACATAGAAAATGTCGTAAAGGAGGGCGCTAGAGCTAGTTTATTATTTTTTTTAACAAATTTTATTAAAACCTTTAGAGCTATATCTTTATCTTATCTTGATCTATTTAACTTGTTGATCTATAAAGGTTGCTTCCTCCGAGATATACCTATGTTCTTATTGTCACCTAGTGACAGTCACTGCCACAGTCAATTACTTAATTAGTTTTCATTGTATTTATCATTAAAGACACTAGATATCCAAATATTTGATGAACTTTGGAACATATCACTTAGTGATATGAACAGATGATTATGTCGATATAGCGGCGTCCGGGCCGTCGTCGAGCCCGCCGAGCGCGGCGAGCGGCGCGGGCGGCGCGGGCGGTGCGGGCGGCGCGGGGGGCGCGGACTACAGCGCGCAGTGGGCGGAGTACTACCGCGGTATCGGCAAGCTGAAGGAGGCAGAGGCTATTGAAGCTCAGATGAAACTCAAGGTACACACCGTATACAGGATGTCTCGAAATTTTATAACGTAACTGCTTTGATAGAGGTTTAATTATTTTTGAAGATTTTAAATATGCATTTAAGAATAACTAGAAGAATCTTATTTCTTACTAGTATTAAAAATGCGAAAATTTAGATGGATGGAAGGATGTTTGTTAGAGTTTGTAGCCTAGACAGCTGAACGAATCTGGGTGAAATTTGGCTTAGATGTAGAACATAATCTGGTCAAAGAAATAGGCTACTTACTTTTTTTTTAAAAAAATCCACTCGGATGGAATGGCGGGCAAAAGCTAGTACGAAATAATTTATCAAATCTTTATATCTATTATAATCCAGGAACAATACCAGCAGCAGCCGACGCCGACGTCGACGGCGGCGCCGACGCCCTCCCCCGCGGCGCACTCGCCCGCGCCCGCCCCCGCAGTGCAGTACAACGCGCACTACCCCATGTACCCGCCCGGCGCGCCCGTCTACCCCGGCTACGCGCCCTACCCCTACTCCGGGCCCGACCACCAGCAGTAGTGAGTTATACCCATCATTTTAACATACATCCCTGTATCTAATATTTTAATCTATGTCAAGATATAGGGTGTTCCAAATTGTTTTTTATACTACCCAAAAAATACCCGACTCTAATGAAAGATGCGTTAAATGGGTCGATATGACCGGCAACACTGATACCCCTTACTTTATTGTACTGATTTAGTATTGGAAATCAACACCTAGGGATTGTTTGTTAAAACTTTCTGAGTATAGTTATAAGTGTGTAATGTATTACGCGTGGTTTTTAAACTCGTCACAATGTAATAGACCTGTTTTGACAAAACTGCTATAATTTGTATTTGACTTTGAAATGTAAAATAAAACTGTAAATACTTGCTATATTAAAATACAATTTAAATTTTGTCCGAGAATTTTTTTTGGGGGTTGGCTTTGCTCGTTCCGTGGTGACTTTCTGTGAATGAAGTGTTTTTTTCTTTGTTTGACAAAACAGGTCATTTATATTGTGATGATTTCTATAGTTTTCGTGAAGTGTGATTTTGAGCTTATAGTTTTTTTACTATGTTAATTGGATAGTTTGAAAGCAATGAGTTGATGAATGAATGACTTGTAAAACATGTAAACATATACATTAAAATAAATAACCTTATTACATAGAATAGCATATGAAAACTTTATTTTGAGTAGAAAAATGTTAAAATAATTAGATTAACATATTTTATCTTATAGACAACCCTAGTTGTACATTACGTCAATTCGGATTCAGTTTTATTTCGAAAGTTTCTATTTATGTTATTGTTGCAATACTTTAGATATATTTTACTATTGACTACTGAAATTTGAATATTTTTATTATGATAATCATATAAATGTGAATTATTTCCTTTGTTCGCAACTAACTTTGGACGGCAGTTATCACTTGTCATCACCAGGTGAACTGTGTTGTGATGTTGCATAAATGTTGTCCGCTTTTGTCAGCCCTGTGTTCATGTAAAACCATTCTAAATTGGCCTCTGAACTTATATTAAATACTCAATGTTAGATCTCCTTAATATTTTATCTCTCCATCATCATTGATAGAACCCATCCGATGAATAAAGTGTCGTATCTTAAATCTATTAAGAAATGTAACTTTTTTCATCCATTGTGTCGAAGTATTTTGATGTGGAGAATATATGACGTCATTTTGATCCAACCATAAATGACTATCAAGAGAAAAAGAAAAAATAATCTATGATTCCTTTAATTATCTGTATTTTAGATTGCGTTAAAATGTTTTATAGTCTGTGTGTTTGTCAGTGCATGAATGTGTTTTTCTTTTTTGATATTTTATAATCAACAATTTTATTCTAATTGCGCCATTTTATTTACAACAAAATATTGTTTTTTAATTTATTTTTGAGCATGTTATGTAATTTGAATTCTTTTTCAGTATTGCATGATAAAATTATAAGGTGTTCAAATAAATGGTGTTTCGAGTAATTTGTAGTATTTGGCATAGTATTTGTGAACTCTGTCAGTGTGTAGTGTTGCAGATGTAGGCCAGTGCCGGGGTTGCCTGAACGAGACGCTATTACTGTTAAATATTATCGAATTGTGTTGCCATGTTGTTCTGTTTGATTGCAGAGCCGAGAAGGAGCGAGTCCGTAAGCGCGCCCGAAGAGAACTCTCCGTACTAGATTATAATTTAAGTTTCGCACATTACCGCAAAAGCGAAAGCGAAGCGAGATTTGATAATTATTCTTAATTTGGGTCGTTACTCTGAACATATAACGCGAATCTTATATTATGGTTTTAATATTATTACAAGCGTTTTTAAATTCGCTTTCCTTTCGCTTTCGTGTCTGTGTGCACAGATCTTAATATAAGCGAATCCGTTTCCACTGTCGATCGTCGACCCGCAATGATTATTTTTTTTAACACTAACTTTTGGACATATTTCTTGTGGGTTCAGACAGTAATAACATGTTAATTTGAGATTATAACCGTTTTAAATAACAAACTTGTGTTTACGAATTTGGCATCGGCTGTGTGGTTTATTTGTATTGCATAAGTAATTTACTGTCACCTCATTGTACTGATGTGTGTCATGCCAGTCTGTCCAGGTATAAAGTAATGCCACACTGCCTTTAATAATACGACGGAGCTATAAAGTGAGAGAGACGGAAACGGAAAGAATGAGATAGCGATACTTCGCCGCTGAGGAACCGAGGTAACTGTTGAGTGAATTAGATAAACACTACATTATTGTGACTCACGGATATTTTCATATGTAATCTCCGCTTCCGAGTTGTGAAGGACGACGGCTCTGCATTTGGTCGGGTTTTTAAATTAAGGGTGCGTTTTACTAACACAGAACTAGGACTTGGCAGGAATTAAGTCGGAAACTAGTAAATAAAAAGTAAAATTTTCTATGTTAATATTGAAAATGTAAGTCATATTGTGTGTTGTATAAATTTATTATAAAAAATACTATAAACATTTAAACATCAAATCATGTTAGATTTTAATTTTCTAATAAAGCGAATTATCAATTGACTTTATATAACTTACGTTGGCGCTGTTTTAGTGGAAATGCACCCTAAATGTACGGTCGAATGTGAAGTCGGAATTCTCCGCATTAAAAATGACTTAATTTGAATAATGTCTAGTTGTAAGTCTAGGGTTAGAGTTGATATCGGTATTTGAACTATCTTCCCAGCTCATTAGGATAAACAAAGTCGAACACAACATTTAGAGTTACATAAACTTAGTATATATGTATTTAATTGATACAATTTAGCTTTGGATAAAAACTTCATTTAGTTATCTATAACGAAGGCAATGTAAGTCCAAATACATTCCTTCTCGAAATTAATAAAAAAACTCGTGAGAATTTTTTTTTGGTAAACGCGTAAGTTACGGGTTATCCCCGAGTCATATTGTATTAATTTTAAGATATAAAGTGTATGTTGATTGAAATTGTGTCCATTTTATTTATAATCATGACTTCTCTTCACAGAATGTAGAGGTAAGTGGGACCCTACGATGTACGGAAAGTGACTTCTGATATCTATGATATTTGTGCCTCTCATATGTTAGGAATTCTCTTGAGAGTATGGTTTTTCGCATTACAATATCGGTGCATTTTTCACTTTAGGATTTTATTCTCTCGGCACTTGCGTGACATTTGACATTTTTCATACAATTTTATGTTTCATCCATTTACGGTGTTTCTCTTTCCTGTGTCTATTTTCTGGAAATTGTGCATTTTTGGTACAAAATTGAACATCCTGTATTTATGAATTTGTATGAAATTATATTTTAAAATGTGCAATGTTTCAGATCTAATTGCATCAATGTTTTTAAGTGCATATTATTTTTGTGTGCATATTTAGAATAATTTATAGATGATAGAAATATTATGGTTAGATTTTTATTCTGTGACATCTTTTCGCATTTTACATGTTGGTATAATTTTTAATGTCGTGTGCATTATCCTATTTATTTATCATTGACATAAACGCCTTTTTTGTTGTCGATCTATGTTAAAGGCCGAGGGGGTGTACTCCTAACCGATACAAAACTATTAAAACCTAAAAAACACAAGGGATAATGGAATATGGCGGCGAAGGTGGGAAAGAGATGGCGATATGTATTGGTTTGTATAAATGAAACGGTAAGTCTATGGTCTAAGAAATACATGAAATATATACACACATGCTCTTAAAATGATTTGGTATCTAAAACTAATTAGTCTAAGGATAAGGGAATATGAAAAAATGACGAACTTGTTTACATTGAACTAGCTATAATTATTTCTATTACTCTCAATATTAAACTGTGTACTTGAACATATTTTGTAGATTTATAACGTGAAATTTAAATAACAACAGAATTAATGATATACATAATAGTGCACATTTCTATTGTAGCAATGTGCATTTAAATTGAAATTTTAACATAGTTTGAAATATATAAGACTAACTCCAATGATCAAAGTTTTGTCATAAATTTTTATTATTTTTATGTATAGAAAGTGAATTTCCACGGTTTTCAATAGTAAAATGTATTAGAGCATTATGTTAGTATACAAGATTAATTTTTAATGGTTTTGCTCAGAATCGAAATTATAAAGCATTATTATCTATATAGTATCAGTTGAAATATCTTTTTTGTCTGGGAACGTACAGAAAAAAAAAATCCGTCCTTTATGGAAAGACTGAGAAACAATATATTTATATGCTTTTATACCACCATGAATAAAAAAATTGCAATCGTATATGTAGCCATTAATACTCCAAGATAAGGTAGCTTTCAATGGCAAAAGAATTTTTTGACGAGTTTTCCAGTTGGTTACATTAAAAATATAAATCTTTCCTCTTTATAATAATAGTGTAGATGAGTAATTCCGCAGTGTAAACCCACGGTTACTACATTTATAAAGTTCATAAACTTTACTGAAAAGGGGATATTAATATTTTGCGCATACTTATAAGTAACCCCGTGTTTGTCTATTTGAAAAAAAAAAATTACGCCTAATTTGACTATTGGTTACTATTCCAAAAATATTAATTGAAGAGTTTTTTGTTTGATCCTAAAATGCATTTACCCTATAATTTTCATATTTGGTTTACATTACACTAAAGTGTAACGGTTTGTGAGAATTAAATCTTGACTTCTATTGCAATGTTAATCTCCTGATGTTTGATCTTATCTATGTAAAAAAATAAAAATCAAATAACATAGAAATATATTTATTTAAACTATGAACAATAATAACACTAACCGTAAAATACCATTGCCGTAACACTTGTATTGCTGTCTCTGTTTTTCCAAAGAGAAAGACAGAGATAATATTACGTTCTTTTGTTTGGTGACGTAAATTTTTTACTTATCGCGAATTCTTTGTTGATAACTTTCCTTCACAGAGGCCATAGAAAGTGGGCATTTACAATAAAACGTATGAATCAATTTCTTTGTTTTATTTGTACTTGAATAAATGTCCTACCACTGTGTAATTAAAAATTTGATATAGAAATGTAATTGATCCCATAACTAACCGACATAACTTCATTAATCATGCGTTTAAAAACATATGCTTATTAACTATATGTGTTTTTGTCATATTGCCTTAAAACATTTTCATGACTTGCTGGTCTAAATATTTAATTCATCTGTATTGGATACCAAACTAATCTAGTATGATATAAGAAATATTTCGTTGATCAGATTTTGAACACCGCACTCGTGGTATTTCTATTGTTCATGTAAAATTGAGAATATAAATTTAGTACGTTCATCATTCAAGTGACCTTGTAACGTAGGACAAAGAGGTTAATACTTATTAGAGCTGTCATTAGAGGTGTGCGATGTAAGAGAAGTCGAGGAGCCTCCGGAGTGAATGTACCGTGAGAGTTTATTGAGCGGCGCTGTCGCCCAGTGCTGCAGTGGACTGCTCGCTTCTGGCACCGGTGAAACTCTATACAAAATTATAGACAATAAAAAAGATTCACACAGGTATAGAACGGACGTGAGCAACATTTCACTATAAATGGTCGATAAAATAAACGAAACCTTTATACCTGTTACGTCGTGGACGTGCTGTCTTCGGTCGTGTCCGTTTCTCGCTCTTATGTACTGAGGACGGAGGGGCAGCGCTCTCAGTCTCAGCACCGCTACCAGCACCTATTTA